GTTAAAACGCCGTACAACAGCAACAAACGACGGCCTTGACGGAAATCGAAGCGTGGCCTATTTCTTTTAGGCGTCTGAGTGACTCTCATCAATCTTAAACTTATTGCTCTTCATCAGTCAGTAACTGCGCATAATTAACTTTTGGAATCATGGGCTGCTTTCAGTAAATATGAGCAAAAAGTGCTAATGGAACTTACGTCATCAACATGCCGGCTGAGGTCATAGCTTCATCAGTGTCCGTTCGTTTGACTCCCCGCGTATCATTATTTTTGTCAGGACGTTATACTACCTGCTACAAAAGGCATTAGCTATGACAGTGCATAAACAGCTGGTACAAACTAGTGGACAGAGTTTATAGCAATAGGTCGGCCTGTTTTTACTGAAAATTCTACTGGAACTAAGCAGTGTTTCTTCCACAGTAGAAGCTTATGAAAATTTATTAAATTTATAGTTCCAGAGTACTGGTCGATCCATGGAGTGTTCAGCCCAATATACTAAGATATTCCATTTTAGAAAAGTCACTGGGTTTACTGCCGTATCAGTGAAAAATTTTTCCCTTCCCGTATTATCGTGTATAATGTATATTTTATGTAACGGCGAAATGTCATTTGCTAGTATGGTATAAACAGCAATCTGTGATGTAACTTATAAGTCAATAAATTCTGGATATTGGAAAGTTATGGGAGACATCGCAAATTATGTCCCAATTTTTTTTGGACATAGGTGGTTATGTTGCATTTACAATTATTAAATTCAACTATTTTCATCTGTAAAGTTTTCCTCATCGTCGCTACATGGTTGCAATGAAAAATACTCATTTCGAAGTTAAAATACTATTTTGCAGTTTCACTTATTTCATCTATGTTGTTAATGACTCCCAGCTTGTAGCACTTTCCATTTAAAAGAGAATTTTTAACACTTGGAGAGGTGGCAATTTTTCGAAATTTGTGGTTATGAGGAACGACAAACCATTCGTCTTTTGGCGGAATTGACAGAACGCTTCGACCTCAATGAGTCCCAACAGCTTCGCATCACTCACAACAGTTTTGCATTGAGGAAGCGCTAATCCGCACATTTTTGAGGAGGTAAATGTACCCTAGAGTCATTCTCTGTTCTGCATCATGGAAATCAAGCAACGATCAAAATACCGATTGAGCAGCACTGCTGAACAGCCACATTAACCACTAATGTCTGCCATAAACTGCAAAATGGTGACAGAGCCAGACAGCGACACAATGTGCGAATGACAAAATTATTCGTCCTGAATATTCTGGAAATAAATCCGGAAGGTGGGATTCAAAATGGCTTACAATGATTGTCCCTCAAGAGGTGAAAGACACGCTCTTCATGGTCTGAATGTGCAATGCTATTAATATTTTACGCCTTTTATTTATTCATTTTCTTAACCGATTGTTTCTTTTAGACTGCGGGTACAGCAGCCTCAGGGGATTCTTCAACGCTCACAGTGTACGGCCCAGATTCAGTGGTTTGACAAGCTCAATAATCATTCAACTTTAGCCAAGTAATGCCGATATTTAAAATTGCTGCAATCAGCTGACATATCCTTCATTGTAACAGTTACGATTGCCATCCTCCAAATGAAAGCATGAGACCATGACTGTGGAAGTTTGCATCATGTCTGTACTATAGCTTTA